AGAAGCTGCATTTCTAAAAAATTCCCAGATGCCATGCTGCTGGTGGTCTGAGGCACACTTTGAGACTCCTGGCTCGAGGCCAGCTGAACTAGAATTGCCTGGGGATCTCTAACAGTCCCAATACTCAGATGACACCACAGATAATTACATCCAACTCTACGGGGTTGAAGTCCAGGCATCAGCATTTTTTAAAGCTCCTCAGGTGATTCTAATTTGAACCCAAGTTTGAAAGCCATTGCTCCAGAGAGTCAATATACCACAGGGAGAAAACCAGGAACAGCACCAAGCAGCGTACCATCAGGGACTAATCGGGAAGTGGGATAACAGGTGCCTCTGATGCCTCAAGCAGCCACTGGAATCCCAGCTAGAAGGGGCCCATTGAGCAGCACGAGGCTTCTGAGCAGAGCCTGATGCTGCTGGGCTGCCCACATGGACCACATTTGGGATCCTCACTCCTTAAAATGGGTTTGGGGATCAACAGATCACTAGGAGCTTATGAGCAGTGCAGAATCTCAGGCTCTGCTCCAGAGCCGGCAAGTCCAAATCTGCACTTGACCACAACCCTGGGCAATTATTGTGCACTTTGAAGTCTGAGCAGCACTGATGGGTGAGGTAGGTGAGATCTGCCAGCACCTGAGTAGGCGGTTGCTGGCAAAGCCCAAGGGTGTCCTCAAGATTATCTAGTCAGCCTTCCAAATCCAGATAACGCTGGAAAGCTGTTCATATGCAAATTGCCTGGAGAGCTGGGTGTATTTACATCTGTATCTTCAGCGTTCCCAAGGAAACTCCCAATTGGCCAAGACTAAGATTCCAAGAGGTCCTCTTCCCCTCCATTGGGGAAACCCTCAAACCTAAGACCATCAAACCTGGATGGAGTTATAACCTGTCCTAACCAGAACCTAGCCCAGCGATCCTGAACATGGCTGACACATTAGAATTACCCAGGTTGCTTTAAAATCACTTCTGCATCTGACTATATCAGAAGCTGTGGGGTTGGGGCCCAAGTGGGAGGGCTTTGAAGCTCCCCAGGTGACTCCAGTTAGAACCAGGAAGTGCCCCACAATCATCTTCAATATTCTCTCCACTGACCTCCCTCCCACAGCCTTCGCCTCTGCATATCGTATGCTGTTAACTTGGACATCAGATTCTCCTGATGTAAAGATACTGTGATCTTCCTTCCAGAGAGGAATGGCATCCTGCACACAAAGCAATTTTGCTTATCTTTGCTGAGCTTGCAAAACTGCGAGAGAGCTACAGTCCTTGGATTGGTTTACTTATGTCTACCTGATTTCTCAGCAAAACATTCATCAGTTCAAGCAGCTGCCATCAAAGTGTGCCTATGGCCCAACAGAGGCTGCCGGACCAGCAACATCCAGGGGACCAAGGCCAGGACAAATTTGGGTTGTGCCATCCATATTTCAGTGGTGGCACACATGCATGCCTAGTTGGCAGTCCAATCACTCACTTTTTGTTTTTGTTTTTGAAACAGGGTCTCTGTCACCCAGGCTGGAGTGCAGTGGGGATATCATAGCTCACTGCAGTGTCAAACTTCTGGGCTCAAGCAACTCTCCACCTTAGCCTCCCAAGTAGCTGGGACTACAGCGTGTGCCACCACACTCCATTAATTTTTATTTTGTTTTTAATTTTGTAGAGATGGGGTCTTGCTATGTTGACCAGGCTGGTTTTGAACTCCTGACCTCAAGCAATCCTCCTCTCATGGCCACCCTGAGCACTGGGATTACAGGTGTGGGCTACTGCACCCAGCCAGAACTCACTTTTATGTTGCCTTTTGCATTCTTCTAGAAGTCACTAAGAACAAAGATTGAAAGAAAATTGTTCTATTTCCACTCAGCATCCTATTGCAAACCTCCTTCGATCTTGTCAACAATTGTTGCAATTTCCCTTGTGACATTTGTATTTCAGTGGTGGCACACATAAAATACCAGGCAGATTTTACGCTTCCCTACTGGAGTGAGCTAAATAGTGGGAATGGTAGCCCCAAAGATATGTCCCATTCTAGATCCTTGTAGTATGTGGATATTATATAGAAAACTGTGATTAAGTGAAGGATATTGAGAGGAGTTACTTATTCTGGCTTATCCTGGTGGGTTCTAAATGTAATCTTCATATGAAGAGACAGAGGAATTTTGAAACAGACACACACCGAGAAGGTGACGTGTAGATGGAGACAGAGATTGGAACGGCACAGGTCAAAGTCAGGGAACACTAGCAGCCATTAAGAGCCGGAAGATGCAAAGAACAGACTCTCCTCCAGAGCCCTTGCAGGGAGTGTGGTTCCTCACACTGAGCCCCTTGGCTCTGTGAAGTGAATTTTGGGCTTCTGAACCCCAGAACTGAGAAAAAAAGGTTTGTTTACGGCCACCAAGTTTGTGCTCATTTATTGCAGCAGCCCCAGGAAACGAGTACACCAGATTACAGATGTGAAAAATGAAGGACAGACATCGAATGCCCCTTCCAAGATGGCGTAGCTCATGGCAAACTGGGTTTATCGTCCCTTCCCTGATTTGGAGTTTCTAAGGAATTTCTAAGGAATTCAACAGGCAGCAGGATGTGTTGATTGAGTCGAACCAGTCTGAGGCTGGTCGCAGGAAAAAGTCTACTGGGGCCTGGAGGGGCCTCTGGAAGCCAAAGCTCACCTACCCAAAGAGCACCCATACCATGGGGCACAAAGAATGGTAGCTAGCACAGGGCATTGTATCTGTACCAGTCACGGCTGGGTCTCCCAAGCCTTTTGTCTCCAAACTCAACATTTGTTCTACCCACGGTCACAGGGTGCCAGCCACAGGTGAGGTTGCTGGGACCCAGGAAGGAATCAGCCAGACTCAGTCAGGTGACATTGTATGTGGTCACAAGGACCCTCCCTAGGGAGATGACATTTGAACTCAGACCCATATGAGACAAAGAATCCAGGCATGGAAAGATGAGCACGAGAACTACAGAGGGTGAGGGAACGGGATGGTGACCAGAGCCCCGAGTGCAAGGGGCTGGCATGCTGGGGACCTGAGGCCAGCAGGGAACTGAGCACCTGAGCAGAGGCATGGTGGGGAGTGAGGGAGCCGGGGACCGATTTAGGAGTCACCTTTTCTCCTAGGAGTAGGTGTCAAGGAAGGGGCTGATTTGCTCTTCCAAATCAGGAGGGCCATGACCTGTTTAACGTCCCCTCATTCATTCCTCACAATACACAGAGCAAGGGGAAAGTAGGGAGTGTGTGAGATGCTTGCTTTCAGGTGCCGCATCCTCAACAGAACTTGCTGGAGCCACAGGACACCCTGTTTTAATAGCAAAGTGGAGGGTTGGAGGAAATGAAGGCTGCCCTGCCTAAGGCCTGAGTTTGCAACAGGACTCCTTAGTCCTGCAGCTCAGGAGGTGGCCAGCTCTCTCGGAGCACTACACAGGGTTCGGGCAGGAGGGGTGGCCTGGCTTTCGGAGCAGCAGTGGTGTGCCCAGGCCCAAAGCCACAGAGAAGGAGAGGCAAGAATGTGGGGTCAAGCCCAGTGTGGTGATGGGCTCCTCAGCGCACTCACTGCAGAAACCCACTGTTTCCACGAGTCTGTTCCGTGCATCTCCTAATGTAACAAGTTATTGCAACCTGTCTTTGGTAAGAGCAGGAATTCTGCCGCCTTCCACCCTCACTTCAGCAGGCCAGCAGCAGGACAGAGCTCCAAGACCCAAAGTAGAAAGAGGGGCAAAGGGGCATCGCAGGCCGCCTCCCAGTTCCTCCATCAGAATCCTGGGCATATAGGGAAGGGGGGGGTCCCACTCCTGAAGCCCTAGGAGGGGGACTGTGCCCAATATCACTCAGTGACCTTGAGTGGGTCTTTTTGGAGCAGATGCCTGGAGTGTCTTGTCATGTGAGGAGTGCCCCAGAGCTGACTGTGTTTTGTCTGCAGTGGGCAGTGATGGTCACAGATATCAGGTTTCTCTGCCCAAATTGCCAGACAGAGCTCACAAATTCCTTTTGAAACTCTAAAATTTTATTTTTAAACTCAAAAGTCCTGGCAGGCCCTACAAAAGGTCAAGAGCAGCAAGTTCTGAGTTTGGGAAGGGATGCGGGGGGAGTGGGATTACTGAAAAGGAAACGGGAGAGAATGAATTCTCTACCTGATGACAATGAGAAAAGAATGGGAAGAAAATGTTCATCCCGATTCTCCATTGTCTGGCCGTAAAATCAGCTTTATGCTGTTCCTTCTGCTCGTTGGTTTTCCCAGCTGTATAATGGGTGCAGTAATTGTGATGAAACTTTAAGAGGTGGGATATATCAGTAGTAAGTTTATTCAGCCCCTATCTCAGCCTGGGCTAGGATTTGCAGAAGATACAGATGTAGAATTCTGGGTCCCTTTATTCAAGGAGCTCAGAAAGTAGTTGTAGAGCAAAGAGTGACCAGTTTAAAAGAAGTGAAGAATAAAAGCACCTGCAACGACATTTTAGAGACAAGAGCACCGAGTTCTCAAGCGTAAGTGAGCATCAAAATTCTCTGGGGACTTGTTAAGTCACAGGTGGCTGGTGCCATCCCCAAAGTACCTGCATCCATGGGTCTGGGAGGGACCTGAGATTGTGCATTTCTAATCCATCCCCACATCTGGCTGATCCTGCTGGTCCAAGGATCACAGGGTGAAAGTCACTGGAATAGAAGAAGCACAGAGAAGGATGAGCTGGCTGTGTACTGGACCTGGCTGGGATATTAGGACCTTTAATTCCTTCCTTGCTGTTCTGTTAAGTATAAAATCAGGGCGCGCAGCTGGTGGGGGCTTCCTGGGAGTGGTTCTCTTGCTGTGTCCAGCAAAGTATGTGATTTCTAGCTCGATATTCCTTCTCTGTAGTGATGGACCCATTGTATTTTTTTTCCAATCCATTGTGAACTAATTCTTCTGTAAAATACAGGATCATCTAGGCGTGGTGGCTCACAACTGTAATCCCAGCACTTTGGGAGGCTGAGGCAGGTGAATCACCTGTGGTCAGGAGTTCGAGACCAGCCTAGCCAATATAGTAAAACCCCATTTCTACTTAAAAAAAAAAAAAAAAACCTAAAAATTAGCCAGGCATGGTGGCAGGTGCTTGTAATCCCAGCTACTTGGGAGGCTGAGGCAAGAGAATTGTTTGACCCTGGGAGGCAGAGGTTGCAATGAGCCAAGATCACGCCATTGCACTCCAGCCTAGGTAATAACAGTGAAACTGTCTCAAAAAAAAAAAAAAAAAATACAGGATCATAGGTGTGGATGTTGCAGCTCTGTTGAAGCTTCACGAATGTTTCTAAATGCTCATCCTGTCACCAACTGGTAACAAGGAGCTCATGAACCAGGCCATGGGCCACATTGAGGGGTCCCACCATGGAACCTCCGTGTCCCCAAGACAACTTCATACATGCAACCAGAAAGCAGCTCAGGACCCAGCATAAGCCAAGCATGGGGAGTGGCTGCCATTCTCTCTGGATCTGTGCCCTGAAATGGGTTATGAGTCCACTAGAAAAGCATGAACAGTGACCACTCGGGCAAAGGCAGGCTCACCCCTCCCTACCCGAAGTCCAGCCCCAGGGCACTGTTCCTCTGTAGCTAAGGAGAGATGGTTCTGGAGGCCACAGCAGGTGCTGGGGCTTCAGAGAGGAGCTATGACAGAATCCCCTGAGAGGAACAAAAGCAGCCACAGCCACACCTCTCCCCAGCTCCAAGCCCCGCATCCCCAAACTGTACCCATGTCCCAGAAAGGGGTCAGGCCTGACTGACCAGGAGCTGCTGCCCCTAAAGGCTCCTGTGACTACAAAATCTGGCTGGGGATCCCAGGACACTCCTCTCCCTGACCAGCTCCCTTCCCAGGCTGCCTTGAAGTTCCAAGCTCCATCCTGGCATCTTTGGCAATGACAGGTGAGTCACAGAATTACAGAAACCCGAATCACCATAGAGACATCCATGGGAAGTCGGGCCGTGTCCCCGGCACCTTGCTGGGAGTGCCCTGAAGCCATTTGCCACTCACTGACCACTGCTCCGAGTACTTGGGCTGTGCCTGGAAGCAGGAGCTGTGGGGAGGGCAGGACGTGGAAGGGAGAGACGGCAGGCAGGGCCAGCGTGGCCAACACAAAGCCAGATGCTCATCTGGGTAAGGAGAGGAGCCCTGTCCACTTTGCTTTGGTCTTTACTGAACATATTCCCAAACAATGGCCCTCCACTTCCTGCCTTCCATTGGCCTGGACAGCACTGCGCTTTTCACTTTGGACTATCCCTGGCATTTAGCATTTCTCCAGCCTTCTCCAAATTTCTACTGAAGTGTAGGGGCTGCAAAGGGGCACCAACACAGGTCCTACTGTCGAGGCAGTTAATGTCCTGTGGGTTGTTTCCGCTAGCTATTGTTGCATAAGGAATCTCCCCAAGCCTCCTGGCTTATGAACAGCAACCATTCGGCCTAAACATTACAACTGGTGCTGCTGTGAGTCAGGGATTCAGGCAGGGCTGGGCGGGGACAGCTCACCTCTGCTCCACAGAGTGTTGGCTGGGGCAGCTGGCCAGGGGCTAGAGGACCAAGATGGTCTCACTCACATGTTTAAGCCCCCAGCTGGGGTGGCTCATGTGAGCCTCAGGTCTCCCCCCTGTGGCCTCTTTTGACACAGCATCTGCTCTTCCAGGGCCTTTCTCCCCGTGATGGTTGGACTGGCCCCCAGCTCCCACACCCAGAGGTTGTACTTTCACAGGTCTGGAATGCAGCCCAGGCATCAGAAATTACAGTCTCTCCAAGAGCTTCTCTAGTGAGCAGCTAAGACTGAAACACCCCCACCTCAGCCCCACTCAGGCCAATCACTACTTAAAGTGTGGCTCAGAGACTGGAAGCAAAGGCACCTCTGGGAAGTTGGCGAGACTTGCAGATGTCCAGGCCGTGCAAAGCCAGGGGAGTGCCACAACTGTCACTAAATGATGGCGATTTCAGTGGTTCCCGCCAGTGTCGGAGCTGTAGCCTGTGCTCGGTGAATTGCCTTCTGTCTCACCACAGCGGTTCTGGAGAAGAGGCCTCCGGGTGATCTCTCAGCTGGGTTGATCCCGCAGACAGGTGTTTCCAGTACAACAGAGAGCTATCAGGAGAAATAAAAATGGAAAGAAATACACACACTGCTTAGAACTATGAGAACGATGAAGAGATCAGGGGACAGAAGGAGGCAGGTGGTTTATGCTGGGCCTGCCTGGGGAGGTTAACGATCGGGTGGTTTGGAGACTGCAGAGGCCATAGGGAGAGTGAAGGTGATTCTAGCTGCCTCTCGGTCTTAAATCAATGTCTCTCTGTTTGTGAAATTGAGGTTGGGGTGCTTGAAATCCCCGACCATCTACTTCTGACCTAGAGCAGCTGGGGATTTCTGCAGAAAAATCACAAAGCTTGAAAGTGGGGAGCTGGTAGACTGACTCTCTCTCTCTCCACTTCCATCCCCTGCCCCAGGCCAGCCCCTAAATGTTTCTCCACAGCTCTGCCAGTTTCCTTCCTGTCTTCTTGCTCTAAGTCCTCTGCTGAAGAGCACCCCTGTGATGATGTCACCAGGCAGCATCAGCAGCAGAATGAAACACAGCCCCTTAGGCGCTCGGGAGACCTGCCATAACCTTGCTCTCCCCTCCTCCCTGTCCAACCCACCACCTCATCCTCATGGTAAATGTTTGCAGTTCTCACAACAGGCGACTGTGCTGAAGGAGTCTGTCTTGCTGCACCGGCTCACCTCCCTCCTCTGCCTGGCTAACCCCTAGGGCCACCCCTGGCACTACTGGGTAGAGATGGGCGCCCCGTGGTGTTTGCACCTAGTGGTGTGGCATTTGTGTTCCTAGGTCCAGCTCAGGTGGCACCTTGCCCTTGACGTCCCCTGACACAGGGACTTGGCTGCATGCCCCCATCTGGCTTCCATAAAATCCCAGTGCTTGCCTCTACAACTGTACTGTCCAGTATGGATGCCACACTTCGGGCGTGGGGCAGCTGCACGCTTGAAATGGACTAGTCCCAGCTGAGATGTGCTGAATGTAGATGCACCAAATTTCAACATTACATAAAAAAGAACTCACCGATGATATTGATATTGATATTGATTTACATGTTTCAATGATAATATTTGGGATATAAGGGGTTAAGTAGAATACTTTATTGAAATTAACTTCACTTGTTTTTCACTGTTTTTAATGTAGTTAATACAAAATCTATGATTTCTCATGGGTTCAATTTACTTCTGTTGGACTGTGCTGGTCTCATAGATTATTCTGGCAGGACCCCTCTTGACTTAGCCATAACCTAAAGCAAATTATTTAATTTCTCCAAAACTGTTTCCTTCTCTATAAAATGAGAAAAGTTCTTATCTTTTAAGGTAACAGGGAGGAGAAAAGAACATACATCAGCATGTTGGAAAATCTCTGTTAGTATAACCATTACATTCATTGTATCATGTAGAATTAACTGTCACATTGACCTTAGTGGCCCCAAGGGTCGTATTCACGTAAGATACTTAGATTCTCACACACTACCTGACACAGAGCAAATGTTTTAGGCACAGGCTATAAAATACAAGTGGGGGGTGTGAGTAGCAGATGAGAGGCTGGCGTATTTTCGAGACCCCTAGCTCCAGCAGGTCCATTAGGGCAGGCATTCCTCCCTCCCTCCTTCCCTCCCACCCTCCCCACCTCCCAGGCAGCAGCCTGTGTCTGAAATCCATCAACCGCCCCCTCACCACGGTGTCTACCTGCCTGGCCAGTAAACCTGCAGCCCTCAGCACCTCCAAGGTCTTTTATCCCAAATTCCCTCTGCAACTCTTCTTCTATCTAGTTTCCAACCTTTCATAGACACCCTGACCCTGGCAAGTGCTTTTGGAGAGGTGCTGCCCAGGCAGAATCCCACAGGGAGCGGAGCAGTCTCCCCTCAGGAGCCACGAATCATTCCACCTGCTTCTATCGTTGCAGGAGAGCAAACAGATTATTTTCTCCAGCTATTTCTGGGCCTTTTTCAGAAATATTCTTGTCTCCAAACATGAACTTCAAACCAACAGCAAATTATTCTGGATAAATGCTAGTTAATGTGATTCCTGGGAACGAAAATCCTAGGGTTTGTCTGTACAAAATTAAAGGGCACACTGTTCTGATATTCACGTGGGTGTAGCCTGGGAGCCAGTACCGGGGCCTGCTTCATTATCAAAGCCACGTATCTTTGGGGTTACCCTGAATTGCCCTGGGGACATCGGTAGAATTTGATTTAGTTTGACCTGAGTTTGCAACATGGCATTGATGTTCTAGAAAGAACTTCTCCCACCCCAGCAAAAATCAGCAGGATGCCAGGTGGGGCTATAATGTCCAGGCACGGCCCGATCCACATTGAGGTCTCTACGAATAGACCCTCTGGAAAAAGCATACCCTAAAAACTAGACTCCCCCTTTGTGGGAAGCTGGGAGTCAGGTTTTTTGTTTTTTGGTTTTTTTTTTTTTTTTTTTTTGGCAGAGAACAAGGGTCAGAGGTTAAAAAGGTTTGAAGAGACAGGGACCAGAAAACAGGACACATCCCAGCAAGATCAACTGCTGGCCTCATTCAGGGGCAGAGCAAGGACCCGGGACCACAGCATCTCAAAGCCATCGGAGGCATGGGAGCCATCAATCTAACCACCTACTCTGCACCCGTTAAGCACATGAGAAAACAGGCCCAGAGATGGGAAGAGACTTGTGTAAAGGTGACCCAGGAGGAGCAGGCCCCACCCCCAGTCTCCTGGCTCCTACACCACACCCTTAATAGGACTTCTTCCAGACAGCACACGTCATGCACAGAATTCATGTAGGAATCATTCTTAGCCCCAGCTCTTGTTTATCAATACACAGATAGGATAGACAGAGCCCCAAAAGAGCTGTCATGCTGCCTAAAATACCGTCATTCAAGACTCTGATCTGAGTAAACAGGGTCCTGATTTAGCCTGCCATCTAATATCTCCGATGGATTCACAGAGTTTTCTCAGGGATTTGTACTTCAGGCAGCCCCTTCCTTGAAGCTGAGACTGGGTGGCGATATTCTCAGGCAGCATGGTGTCGGGGGAAGGGAGGAAGAGCCCATTACAAGCATAGGATGCTGTCCGAGAGAGAGAAGCTTCAGGTGCAGATGGGGGGCCTCTGGACGCCAGAGGACCAGCAGTTGAGCCTCTAGCTGAGAAGGGGGAAAGGGGCTGAGAGCAGAATCCTAAACTTCCTCATCAGCGGTGGATGCCATTATGGGCTCCAAAGATTCACCCTCCCTGAACCCAAGCCCTTAGTCTTGTAACTTTGCAGTTCCTCCCACTAAGGACAGAATGAACTCTGCCTCCTCCACCACCATGATTTGCTTTGGCCAACATGATGGGGGAAGATGTGTCGTGTGCCTGCTCCTAGTCACAGGGTGTGGAACAGAGGCTGCAGCCAGCCACCGGTCGGGGTAGGGCTGTCAGACAGGAGGTGCAGGGCCCATGCTGGTCAGGGCCCCGGGGGCGCCCCCTTCTGGAGGACTGGTGAGATTTCAGGAGTGGATGGGCAACTTGGGTGAAAGGAAGACCATGAACAAAGGCATGGAGGAAGGAAAAGAAAAGAAATATTTCTAGAAGAATGAACAGCTCCAAGCAGTGGGAGCAGCATCGTCCAAAAGAACTTGCTTCGATGATGGAAATAAATACCCGACACCTGTGTTGTGCAGTGAGGGAGCCGCCAGCCTTGCAGGGCCATTGAGCACTTGGAATGTGCCACTGCTACCCAGGAACTGAATTCATTATTTTGTTTAAATTAAGCAATCAACATTTAAAGGGCCGCACGTGGCCAGTAGCTCCTGACTGGACAGTACAGGTCTGGAGCGCTGGGTTCTGGGGGTGTTGAAGTAAGGCTGGGCTGGGGGTCCCCTGCAGTCAGTAGAATTTTTGAGCTAAAGGCCCCCAGTAATTACAACAGCATCTGCTGCTTCCCAGGACCTGTGCACAGCCCTTGTCATACATGAACGATTTCCTCTTCCCAGCATCCTTGCAGGGTAGAGCGGGTCATTATCCCCATTTTACAGAAGGCGGACTGAGGCACAGAGGAGCTAAGTTCCGGGGGAAATCACTTGAGAGGCGGAGTTGGGTGTAAACCAGACTCTGACTGCCCATTCCACATCCATGGAGGCCTGAACAGCCACTTACAAAGGCTGCAAAGTCCTTTTCTGGGTGTTTTTCTCTCTTGGGCACTGGCTTGATTTGCCCTATCCCCAGTAAAAAGCAGAATCTGAAATAGTACTTTCACCCAAGCAGTAGTTTTTGCTAATTTTCGTGCTGTGGTTTGGGGAGGCAAGGCTGGTGGTGATCTCATGGAACAGGATTGGCAGGGATGAGAGGTCAACCCACAGAGGCTTTGCTGAGCTGGTCATGCCACAAGCCAGCGAGCTCCTTCCTGGTGGGCTCTTCGGAGGACCTGTGTGCATTGCCCCTGAGAATCGGCCACCTGAGATGGAGAGGAGGGGAGTGCCATCCTCCCCAGCTCTGCCACCCCCCCATTAGTCAAGGGCTGTCCCATCTCTCAGAGGGACATGGACACAGCAAGGGGACCTGCAGCCAGACCACCCCTGCCTGGAGAGGGCTGTCACACCCACACCAGGAGCAAAAAAATTGGCTGACACATATTGTAGGATTCCACCTACAGGAAATGCTGAGAATAGGCAGGCCCAAAGAGCCAGCAGGTGGCCAGGGCTGAAAACCAGGTGTGGGGAGTGTTCATCGGTGCAGTGTTTCTTTATGGAGTGAGGAAAATGTTCTAGGATTTGATGACCATGATGGTTCATGGTGAATTTTGTTTTAATTTTTTAAAAGTGGGCTGGCAGGAATCATGATGACAGAAAAATGCAGCCAGGTTTCAGGCTCTGAGCTCAACTGCAGACCCAGCCCATAAGTCCATAAATACAGGTTCATCGCAGGAAAGGTCTGTCCCTGCAGTCAGACCAACCTCCACCCCCTAGAACTCTGACTGGGAGTTGGGGCCAGTACAGAGCCCGGGAAGCCAGGCTTAGCAGCCCCAGCCTTCCCAGCTCCTCTTCTCAATGCCGCCTCTCTCTGATGGACTCGGACACAACGAGGTCACTG